GTGTGTATGTGTGTGTGTGTGAAATTGTATACAATTATATTAACAGTTCTGTATTTCGTGATTTATTGTTAAACACTGAGTGAGCTATTGAAAGAGATGAAGGAACAGTGAAAGAGAGGAAGAAAGAGACAGAGTGAGAAAAAAGAAAGAAAGAGAAAGAGAGAGAGAGAGAGAGAGAGAGAGAGAGAGAGAAAGTTAATAATAATTAGTATCATATATTAGTATCAAGTTTAGAGAGAAGTTTTTCGTACAAGAAAACTCATAAATAACAAAAAAAATGGTGTGTTTGGAAGGTTGTTAGTTAGTGGTGGGTTGTCATTCATCCATCCTTTATATCGTTTTTTCTTTATTTCAGTCGTTCTTTCTTTCTTTCATTCGTTCTTTCATTCACAGAAGTAGTAGTAGTAGTACTAGTAGTAGTAATAGTTCTGTTATTCATTCATTCGTTCGTTACTTCATTCATAATAATATAATTACACAATTAATATCCTTCTAGCGTAACTACTACTACTACCTTGAAAGGACTACTACTATTACCGCTGCTGCTGCTACTACTATTACTTCTACTACAACTACCACAACTACTACTTCTACTACAACTACCACAACTACTACAACTACTAAGACTTCTTAATATGGGAAATCATCCACATGCTAATTCTTTTAATGTTTTTTGATTGACAGGCCTAGATGAGGCTGATGATGATGATGACGACGATGGAAACAACAACAACCAACAACAACAAAAACAACAAACAACAACAACAATAAAAACAATAATAATAATAATAAATAAACGAATGCGTGTACGTACACATGAACTAGATGACTTAAATTCATTTGCAGTTAACTTGTAGCTTAGAATACGAATGAATGAATGAATGAATGATTGAATGAATGAATGACTAAATGAAAGAAAGCGAATGAAAGAAAGCGAATGAATGAGCGTCAACCAGCCAACCAACAACGAAAGAATTAGTGAATTGAAGAATTTAAACATTTCAAACAATGTCTTGACGAATAATAATAATAAAAAAAATAACAACAACAACAACAACAACGTCAACAACAATAATAATAATAACAACAGCCATGAGAAAAGTACAGCCTATATTCTCATGCTTTAAAAATATTAAGGACCCAAAATTTTAACGACGACAATACTACTACTACTACTACTACTACTACTACTACTACTACTACTACTACTACTGCTACTACTACCACTACTACTGCTATTACTGCTACTACTGCCGCCGCTGCTGCTACTACTACTACTGCTACAACCGCTGCTACCACAATTACTACTCCTAATGATAATAATAATACATACATATATAAATTCATACATAAATTCATACATACATACACACACACATACGAACACACACACACATAACTACGAATAAAGCAATGTAACAATAACTGCATATCTTAACATGTTTACAAGATTACAAGAAGCATCCGTAACAGTACACACACACACAAACAAACAAACAAACACACAAACACACACACACTCTAATAGGCAACCCAAGTTCAGCATTCAGTGAGAAAATATTAAACATTGAATTCCCACACAATAAGCCTATATAGTACATGCATACCTATACATACACACATACATACACACATACATACGCACATACATACACACATAAATACGTACATACATACACACATACATACGCACATACGTTGCACATACGTACGCATCAATGTTAATAATGATTACTCTTTGTTTTACATGTCTACTGTTTATAATATAACAACACATCAAAACATATGTGTGTGTATTTGTTTGTTGTATGTATGTTTGTTTGTTTGTATAAATGTATGTTTGTTTGTATAAATGTATGCATGATTGTATGTATGTTTGTTTGTCTCGTTTTGTATGTGTATCTATTGTACTAATATAAAATAGCATATAAAGGTATATTTTTGACCCATTATATAAACATAAATGTTTTGCGAATGAATGAATGAATGAATGAATAAATAAATGAATGTTTCGTGAGTGATTAAACAAACAAATGAATAAATGAATGAACGAAAGAATGTTGAAATAAACGAATGAATGAATGAACGACTGACTGAACAAATTGAAAATTTTGAAACTGCAACCCTTGGATTTGAATATAAATTGAGAAACAGTTGAACTTAGTGAACGAATAAATGAACGAATGAATGAATGAACGAATAAATGAATGAACGAATAAATGAATGAACGAATGAATGAATGAACGAATAAATGAACGAATAAATGAATGAACGAATAAATGAATGAACGAATAAATGAACGAATGAATGAATGAACGAATGAATGAATGAACGAATAAATAAATCATGAATGAATGAAGAGTAGAGGTAATTGTTCTGCTAATATATAACATTCAAATTTCAAACAAGAGACCATGAACGACCAAACGAAAAAACGAATGAATTAATGAACGAACGAATGAGCAAATAAACGAACAAATGGATAAAAAAATAAACAAAAGAAAGAATAAAAGAATAAATAAACGAAAAATGAAAATTTAAGCTGGTAAATTCTTCAAAAAAAATCACAAATTAATAACAGAGCAGACAGTATTCTCACCTATATACATTTCGTTGTTAGACTTCAACTTGTTGACGTTGTTGATGTTGTTGTTGATGATGTCGTCGTCGTTGATGTTTATCTTTTTGTTGTTGTTTGTTGATGACTGATGATTTTGAAACAATTTCATTTGGTCTGTGGTGTTGATGCTGTTGTTGTTGATGTTGTTGTTGTTGTCATTCTAAAATAAAAATATTATTATTTTTGTTGTTGGTTAAAAATGAANAATGTAGACCATTAAATAGCACAACAACAACAGCAACAACAA